CAGCCCACCAACCAGCCTTCTACAAGCCAGGGGCCTCACCGCGTTCATGTCGATGCCGTTGGTGTAGGACCAGGCGTGCTGGAAGTACTCCTCGAGGCGCTGGCGCAGCGGGTTGGGAATCTGGTGGAAGCGGATGAACTCACGCACCCGGAGCATCTGCGTGTGGTAGCGGGCTGTACCCGAGTACAGCCGCTGGATGATGGCCGACACGTTGCCAAAGATGCTGGCGTACATGAGGGCTGGGGGCGGGGGTGAGTGGGGCTGTCAGCATCCAAGGAACCTGCCCGCCCCTGCACCAGTCAAGGACACATGCATGTGAGCGTACACGCAAGAGTCACAAACACAGAAGCCCAGGCCTGCATGCCCTTGGGCTCTGCCTGTGCCCCTACCCCAGTGTCCCAGCCCCCAAACACACCATGATAGTGGCCCTAGAGTCTCCAAGTCCCAGGGCCCTAGTTGGCCCCCCCAGCATCTACCCTTTCCTCCACCTGGGGCTCTTCCCACACCCAGCGCACACTCACAGCCGATGAGCATCACGCAGATGGAGAAGATCTTCTCTGAGTTGGTGTTGGGGGAGACGTTGCCAAAGCCCACGCTGGTGAGGCTGCTGAAGGTGAAGTAGAGGGCCGTGACGTACTTGTCCTTGATGGAGGGGCCGCCCAGGCCGCTGCTGTTGTAGGGCTTGCCAATCTGGTCGCCCAGGTTGTACAGCCAGCCGATGCGGGAGTCCATATGCGGCTGCTCCATGTTGCCGATGGCGTACCAGATGCAGGCCAGCCAGTGCGCGATGAGCGCAAAGGTGCACATGAGCAGGAAGAGCACGGCTGCCCCGTACTCCGAGTAGCGGTCCAGCTTCCGGGCCACGCGCACCAGCCGCAGCAGCCGCGCCGTCTTCAGCAGCCCGATGAGCTGGGGTGGGAGGAGATAGTCCACGTGGGGCCAATGGAAAGTGGAGGCACCGCAGCCCTCGGGGGACATCAGAGGAAAGGTCCCCAAAGACTTCCTCCCAGAACTTCCTCCTAATAACTGAAGCACCTCCCACTGAGCCCAGCACAGTGTCCTGCTAATCTTGGCGCTAGCTTTGGGACAGAGGGTTCATGGCCCCCATGGTGAGGATGAGGAGACTGAGGCTTGGAAAGGTGCAGCACCCACCCTAAGGTGCCTGGCCAGAGGTCCCACTGGCGTCCAGGGCACTTTTCTGTGAATTAGAAGAAGTGGCCTCTTTGGATAGACAAATGAGAAAAAAGCACCCCCTCTGGAACTCTGCATCTGGCGCGTGGCTGGGGTAGACAGGGACTGGCATGAGCCAGCGGGGGCGGCCTCCAGGCCCCTGCAGCCCTCTTTCTAGCCACCCCTTCACCCCACCACCTCCTCACCCTTCTCCCACACCCTCCAGAGGCCTCTGCTCTCCTCCCCTCCCCCGGCCTCCCTACCCACCCACCTCCTCCGAGCCAGAGCCAAAGATGAGCAGGTCGAAGGGGATGGCGGCCACCATGTCAATGAGGAACCAGCCCTTGAAGTAGTGGACGGCGATGCGCCCCGGGTGGCTGACCACCTCCTCGTTGGCATTGACGTAGGTGGTCCGGAAGTTGATGAGGATGTCCACGATGAACATGATGTCCACAATGAGGTCCACCACGGCCAGGGGCTGGCAGGCGTAGCCGCAGTCGGGGGCCACCGGGCCCTCCTCCGTCTCCTTCAGCAGGAAGGCGGCTGAGTAGGGCGTGAAGACGGCCGTGTAGATGACCAGCAGCAGGATGAGCCAGTCCCACACGGCCTTGAAGGGGCTGTAGTGCAGGATGGTCCAGCGGTGGATGCGCGGCGCCTGCAGCTTGTACTCGGGCAGCACGTCCGCCCCCAGGGACAGGACCTGGACAGGCAGGGAAGGTGGCGGTGAGGGGGTGGTGTCCAACTGGAGTCGGGAGCGGGGAGGACAGGCCATGGGACCTCCAGGGTGGGAGCAGGTGACATCTCTGTTGGAGCCTCCAGAGAAGAGGCCAAGCAGAGTAAGGAGGGAGGCCAAAATGTTTTGATTAGAATGCCCGCCCCTCAGCCAAGTGGCCACAGCCACTGACCACCCCTCAATCTGGGCACTCCAGTTCCCCATAGCTGGCTCCAAGTCCAGGGCACCATGCAGTAACACCCAGAATGGCCCCCACCAGCAACACAGACCCCTGCCTGGGGGTGTGACTCCCATCCGATCTTACCCACATCTCCCCAACAGCCCCCCACACACATACACCCACACACACACCATGGCCTCCGTCCATGCCACTGGCCCAAGGATACCAGCCATCCAGACTCGGGCCCCTTGGCCCCCAGGGGAGAGAAACTAAAACACCCCACGCCTGCTCCTGCAGCCCCCCCTCGCCTGGCCCAGGGCAGCCCTCTCACACTCCTACAAAGGCACGCAGAAGACCTCACCCAGCAGAGACGTGCCTACACGTACACAGAGGGACATGCACATGGGCAGACGTCCAGAAGTGACGCAGACAGCCAGCAGAGGCTCACCTTCACATCCTGCCCCACAACATCAGGCAGAGGCAGCTGGCCACCCAGACCAGGTCGCAGTAGGCATGCCACGATTTCTCCCCAAGCCAAACTAGGAAGAGCTGAGGCCAGCTTCCCCCTGTCCCAGGAGCCTCTATGCGTCTCCCTATGGCCTCCCCCTGCCCCTGAGAATCCTCTCACAGACATTTGATTCAACCCAGGAGCCCCTCCCCAAGCTCTCCCATCCTGGCCCACCCTGAGAGCCAAGGTTGCCAGCCTTGCTGCTGTAGCACTGAGTGCCAGAGTCCCTCCCCCCCTCCACCCCCACCCCACTCTGTCCTCAGGCCTCTGGGCTGGGGAGGTGGAGCCCCCTCCTCCATGGTGGGTGGAGCCTCAAAGAGTCCTACTCACATTCAAACTGGGAATCCCCTGGGCCCCCCCTCACCAAAGGGACTGTTTGGAGAACATCGCCTTAGAAGAAGTAACTGGAAGTTCAGACAGGCAATAGTTAGGGGTTGGTCCACCCTGGGCTGGCCACAGGGCTCCAAAGGCACATCATGGGTAGAAGGAGCAGCTGGGGCCAAGGCAGGGGAGGGAGCGTGTGGCTTCCAGGTCCCCACTCTGCCCTGCCTTCAGCCCAAGTTGCCTGCTCCTTAAGGCAGAGAGCATGGGGCAGTGGCCTTTCCAGGGTCAGGTGGGGATTGGGAAAAAAGGAACTGACCGGGGCCCCTGCAGACAAGGGACGGTATAAGGTAACTGCCCCCTCCCCACGCCATGGGTCTCCTCCAAGTGCCTGAGAGGCAAAACCACGCCTGATAACAGAGACCTAGTCCCTGAGGTCTGCCCACAGCAGGACCACCACCACCCTAACGCACACACGCACACTCAAGGGGCAAGCCTGGACACAAGACCTGGACCTGCAGACCTCATCTCACGGGAGCCAGGCCCAGCTCTGCAACCACCAGTGTACTGTATGGCCTTGGGCCAGGTGTGTAACCTCCTTTGACCCACAGGATACCAAAGCCCACTTAAGCCAAATCCTGGATCCTCACCTGTGGGTGGGAAAGAGTCTCCCCATACCTGTCCCCGAGCTGGGAGGAGCACATGAGCCAAGGCAGAGAGTGTTGCCAGGTGGTGGTGGCAGCGGTGGGATCCTCAGACGTACCCTTGAGCCACCTCCAACACCCCCTCTGCCGCCCTCCCCAGCTTGCTCCAGGCTCTCTGACGTGGGATGGAAAGGTGGCTCCCAGAAGGTACCTACAGAGTCATCAGCCTAGGGGACCTGGGGCAGCTCAGGCTGTCCCAGGTGAGCCAGGTGCCTCAGTTCAGCTACCCTCACCGCATCCATTGTCCTCTGACCCCGCCCTCCTCAGACTCCAGCCCCAAAGCCTGGACCACTGAAGCAGCCCGAGCCTCCCTCGCCACCACTGGCCCACCCCCAGCACGTGGAGAAGAGGAGCAGTGGAGCCCATGGCTTCCAGGCCAGGCCTGGCCGCTGCCCACTGCGGGAGGTGTGGTGGGAGGGGGAGGCAGGCTCCTCTCCTCCGTCTCCCGCCCTCCTCCCTGGGCACCCATTTTATTCCTACTCTTCCTCCCCTCCCAGAGCATTTTGAGCTAGAAGAGTACGGGCCATGGAGGTCCTCGGAGAGGAAAGTCCTGGCAAGAAAAATACTGTCTGCCAGGCCCAGCAGGCCTGGGGAAGAGCAACCCGGAGCCAGGAGTGGGATGAGCAGGGCTGCGGACCCTCTGGCTCCCCAAACTGTCCTGCTTCTCAGCAGCTCTCTCCGGCCTGGAGCCAGAGTCGCTCCTCTGGGCTGCATCCTGAATCAGTGCCCCAGCCTGGAAGGGAGAGGGAGGGGCTGGGGGGTCACCTACCTCCTGGGCCACCAGGCTGGAGATGCGCACGGCCCGCCTGACCCGGCCCTTCTGGGCCCTGGGCTGCAGAGCCCCAGTCCCGCTCGCCTTCCTGGCGGAGGCCGCCATGGAGGACCTGGCTCCCCCCAGCCTGCCTGCCCTGGGGCCCGAGAGCCCAGCCAGCGCCTCACCTGCGCCCCAGCAGCAGTCCCAGCCCAGGCTGCGCCCCAGAGACTGGCGGCCTGGCTCCCAGGGCAGCCTCTGGAATGAAGCCAGGGTTGCTGGGGCTGGGCCCCAGGGCTGGGGTCACCCTGGCAGCGAGCGTGGACAGCAGCCCGCCTGGCTCAGGCTGCGCATGGCCCCCTGGTACAGGCCCGGCTGCCAGGGTGCTGCGCTCTGCCTGCCGCCAGCCCAGTGGCGGCTCCGCGGTCAGAACCTCGGCTCCTGGGCCCGCCCCTCCTCCTCCCCGTCCCCACCCCCACCCCGCCAGCCCGGCCAGCGGCCCCCTCCCCCGCAGCCGCTCTGGGCTCCTGCTGCAGCCGCTCCTGCAGCCCGCACCCCTCCCCCTCCCCCAGCAGCCCGGCCTGTCACCACAGATTAATGGTCTCCCCAACACCCCCGCCCGCCAGTCCAGTACCCAGCCAGCCAGTCAGACAGACGGCCAGAGATGGAGAGACTGGCAGAGCCAGGAACACCGGACACATAGACGCACACGCACAGACCACAAGTACACAGAAGCGCACGCTGAGGGCCAGGAACAGGGCTCCAGGTGGGAATAACAGAGCCAGCGGCCAGAGGGGAGAGGGAAAGGCAGCCAGATATGGGGCCTGGGGTGTGGGGGAACATTCTGGACTCAAGGCCAAGGGGCTGGAGACCTGGCAGGGACCCAGAGAGCCAGAGGCAGTGGGAGCAGGGCCAGGAGGAGGGCTGAGGAGGCCGGTGCTGGCGGCTCTCACGCGGGCCAACTAGGGGAGTTGCTGTGGAAGGGGCAGGAGGCAGCCATGGGGATTGAGGCATGGTGGGCAAGGGACAGGAGCCCCCTGTCCCAGGCTTCTCACCCTCTGCCAGGACTTGAGGAAGGATCTGGAATGGACTGGGCAGTGAGGGTGATGCAGGCGATCTTGCTGCCGGGAAGGGGCAGGAGACAAGGCTGGCCCTGCCACCAGGCAGTGCTGGGCACAGCCCCCAGAGTCAGGGACTTGATCACTCCATATCTGTACACCCACCACCATACCCTCCCCTCCTGACCTTGCTGGGGAACAGGGGTGAGCACTTCCAGGCCATCCTGGCCCCTAGCACCAGCCCCCACCCTCTCCCTGGATCATCACCTTGGCCTAGAAGAATCAGGACCCCCAACTTTGACCCCTGTGGCCCCTTCTAATCAAAGCCTCCTCTTGGTTGCCCCTCAGTACTCCCCTCATGACACCCTAAGAGCAGACCCTGTCATGCCCCTGTGGCTGCCTTCTCCCACCCACCCTGACCCTCTCAGGTACCCAGCCTCAACTGCACTGTCCCCCTGAGCCCCACCAACCTGTTCTCTGTACCCCTCCTGTCCCAAAGCCACCTGCCCTCCAGTCTCCCTTTCTCCAGGACCTCCCAGACTGTCTGTCCTCTCACCCCAGCTCTGAAACCCCCACCCCCACCCCTAGCCAGCAGATCTGCCCACCCTCAAGAGGCCCTCACTGTGGCCCCCTCCTCCCCACCTTTAACCACAGCCCACAGCCACCCCTTCTGAGCTCCTGCAAGCTGAGGGGAGAGCCAGGGACTGGGCACCTACCTGGGTGACCTTCTCCGTGACATTGTGGGTCCGCTCCTTTATCTTGGGTGCTATGATCTCCCGGTCGCTGGAGGGCGAAGCCAGGAAGGGGTCGCCCTTGAGGTCCACAAAGTTGAGGGTGATTTGGGGGATCTTGCTAATGGTGCGGTAGCGCACGAGGTCCGAATCTGATGTGGAATTAAGCAGGCCACTGCGCAGGGGGTGCATGGCCCCTGGGGTGAGGGGAAAGCGGAGTCAGGGTGGCAGGCAGGGGGTGCATGGCCCTCGGGTTGGGGGAGAGTAGGGTGTGGGTGGCAGGCAGGGGGTGCATGGCCCTGGGGCGGGGAGAGTGGGGTGTGGGTGGCAGGCAGGGGGTGCATGGCCCTGGGGGGGGGAGAGTGGGGTGTGGGTGGCAGGCAGGGGGTGCATGGCCCTGGGGTGGGGGGAGAGTGGGGTGTGGGTGGCAGGCAGGGGCCGGCATGACACTGTGGTGGAGGCCAGGCCTGCAGGAGCCAGGCCATGGGGGTCAGTGTGTCATGGAAGCCAGCTCAAGAGCTGGGGCCCAGTCGCGGGAGAAACAGGCCAGGCTCCTCCCCACTTGAGGGAAGCACACGGTGATCAACTAGGAGACGGCAGAGGAGGAGGAGCCTCCCCCCGGGCTCTGTTCAGGGGCACTGAGACCCGCCAGAGGGCCAAGTAGGGACAGGGCCCCAGATGCTGTCCTGCCCCTCAGACTCCCCCAGGCCACCCCTGCTCCAGGACCCCAGCGGGAGCCAGCTTCATGGGCCCCGCAGGCTCTGAGCGTGCAGGAATGAACCGCGACGGATGGGCATTCAGTGGGATTAAACAGGCGCGAATGGGGTTTCCATCCCCCAAGCACCCTGGACGGGTGGAGACCAGGAAGCTACGGTCCTGGAACTGGGCCGGCTGGCGGCGGTGGGGAGATGCTCTCACCGGTGGCGGGTGGGGAGGTGCCCTCACCGGTGCTGGCGTGGCGCGGGGGCGGGGGCAGCACCCCAGCGCGCATGGCCTCGATGTCGTCGGCTGAGGAGGCGCGGCGCACGCTGGCGCAGCTCTCCCGGGAGCGGGTCCGGGCCAGGCTGCAGGTGGAGCCCGAGGCCTCGGGGTTGAGGCCCTGCGCCTGGGGCGCCTGGGGCGATGGGTGCGGGCCTGGCTCGCAGGAGGGCGGGGAGCTGGGGGCCACCAGCGCCCTTCGCTCCTCCGTGGGCCGGAGCCCTGCCACATGGTTGTCCATGGCCGGCACCTCGTCCAGGGCCAACGACTCGTTGCTGGGCGCTGCGGGCGTCAGGTCCAGGTCCACGTCCACCACCACGGCCCCCGCGGCCCCCGCGCCACCAGTGCCTGTGCGACCCGGCCGCCCCGAGGACTCCCGGGCTGTTAAAGCCAGCATGGCCGGCAGCTTCAGGCGGAAGGTCTTGGCGCGACCTGTGGGGAGAAGGGAGCTGTCTGGCGGGGGTACAGGAGCCGGAGCCCCTGCCAAACAGAAGGGGAAGTTGGGGAGTGGGAGCCTGGCAGTGGGCACCCCTCCACCCGACTTCCACTCATCTCAAAAAATTCTAGGACCCAATCTTATCCTAGGCTCTGAAAATAATAAACTACTATTTCTTGAGCCAAATACCCCAGTGGGCTCTACTCAAACCGTGGGTGACGCGACTGCACTGCGGGCAACATTTCCCCTTAGCGAGGCAGAAAACGCAGGCGTGATGCACTGTGACTGCTGGAGGCCGCACGGTGCCTGGGGGGGGCCTGCCTCCAAACGGGGCAGCGACACAGGCCCTCTTGCCAGACCCCGCCAACTTGCAGATGGCCCCAGCGTTAACACTGCCAGGTTAGAGCTTGAGAGACCACGGGGTGGACTCCTTGCCATGACCCTAAAGGGCAAATGAGATTTAAACCCAAAGAGGCCACAGCGGGGAGGAAAGGAGTCTGAGCCTGAGTCACAGGGGGATGAGGTGAGGGTTCCATGTCTCCAGCCACGGTGAGCATTTCCCTCAAATTCTCTCCTCAATTAGCCCAGGCCACACCAGGGAGCTGTCCTGTCCAGGAACAAGGACCAGGGGCAGAAGTTCCCCAGAAAGACATCTGGGTCCCTGAGAGACGGGGCCTTCTGATGAGCAAAGGGCCAGAATGTCTGGAAGGGTGAATGCCCTAACCCTGGGCAGCAGAGAGGACCACGCCCAGAGGATGCTGCGGTGGAAACCTGAGCAGGTAAAGCTAGGACACCAGGTGCAATCTTGCCCTAAGGACCTGTGGCGCTGTCGCTCCATCCCTGTCTGTTCATTTTGAGCCAGATGAGACCAGGCCACGTCCTCGGTAACCTCTGAAGGGACCCCGCACACACATTCCTTCCTGCAGGGCAATGGCCTTGGGGAGCCTCAGGGCCCCAGAAAAGGGAGAGCTCGTTATTCCTGCACCAGTCCAAGTGTGGCTACACTTACCTGGGGCCAGCCAGCTGGTGGGGGGCCCGCGGTGATTGGTGTCATGGGCCGGGGACCCCACCATGTCCTTCTCCATCACCACCTCGAAGTTGAGGATAAACATGATGACAGCTCCATCCTCGTTCTTCACAGGTACCACGTCCACCAGGCACAGGAAGCAGCTCCCTGTGGAGTGGGGGACACGGCCACTGTGGCACCAAGGCCCCTGATGGGCAGAGCAGAAACCTGAAGGGGCCCGTCCACGTCTGCCTCCCCCACGGCCACACACAGTTCTGCCCCTTCCTTGCCAAGTCTCCTTCCCACCCCCCTTCCCCCTGCAGCTTTGTGCCAGCCAGACCGAGCTTGTGACCTCAGTCTACCTGCTCCGACTTGCTGCTGGCCAGGCATTCCCTCTCTCTCCACCTGTCTTGTTTCTCTAGCCCTCTCCCCGGGTGCATTCTCCCTCACCTTGGCTTAAGTCCTTTCTGCCTCCACCTTGTCATCTCACTCTCCCTCGCCTCTCAATGTATCCTTGTGACCCTCACACAGGGCAGTGTGTGGGAAGCCGCCTATTGTCTTCTCTAGCAGAGAGTGTAGACAAGGAGCCCAGAATGCTGGTGACCCTCGAGCCCTGGCAAAGGTCAGAACTATGCACCCACAATGGAAGCTGAAGCAATTTCCCCACCAGATAGTCACGTAAATCCTTACTGATAAGATAGTCTGTCTGTTACTGGAACTTGCCTGTCTAAGGGCTATGGATGGATCCCAAACTGAATAAAAGGATGGCGAGGCCTGCGCACAAGCGGAGTCCATCCTCTTGGGATGGGCTCTCACCTGGCCCCCCAATTTCCAAATTATTATCTCTTGTCTCTTTCATTTGTGTGCAGCCCCTCTTCCAGGTCCTGAACCCTGAACCACACGGGATGTGGGAGTACACATACACAGCAGTGCAGTGTGGGAATTAAGCCCACAGACTTTAGGCCCAGGGTCTCTGGGTTCAAATCCCACCTCTGCCACTTAGTCATTTATGCATTATGCTCAACTTAGTTAACCTTCCTGTGCCTCGTTTTCCTCATCTATAAAGTGGGAATAGTAGTTCCTTTGCCCTAAGTTGCAAAGATGAAGTCAACACATGCTGAGGGCCTAGAGCAGGGGTCCTCAAACTACAGCCCGCGGGCCACATGCAAATACAAATATTGTATTTGTTCCCGTTTTGTTTTTTTACTTCAAAATAAGATATGTGCACTGTGCATAGGAATTTGTTCATGGTTTTTTTTTAAACTATAGTCCGGCCCTCCAACGGTCTGAGGGACAGTGAACTGGCCCCCTGTTTAAAAAGTTTGAGGACCCCTGGCCTAGAGCAATGCCTGGTGTACACTGAACACTGCACACGGGTTAGGGATCGCTCTCTGTCCCCATCCTGGCTCTCTCTGCATTAGTCCCAGCTCTTTCTGCATTAGTCCCACCAGTTGGTCCACAACAAGATACACTCAAAGTTGAGAGCAAGAGTTTCAAAACCTTCAAGCAATTCAACATTGCCACGATGTCCAAGCATGTGATTTTGCACTTCACAAAGGTGTGTGATGTATTAGAAATAAAGAAAAGTGATCCTTCACCAAAGAGCCGTGAAGCACTGCTCCTAAATCTTGCATCACTGTCTCTCCTTGTCTTTCTTTTTCTAAAAATATTTTTTTATTGGTTTCAGAGAGAGGAAGAAAGAGAGAGAGAAACATCAATGACAGAGAGAATCGTTGATCGGCTGCCTCCTGCACGCCCCCCACTGGAGATTGAGCCCACAACCAAGGCATGTGTCCTGCCCGGGAACTGAACCATGACCTCCTGGTTCATAGGTTAATGCTCAACCACTGAGCCACGCTGGCTGGGCTCCTTGTCTTTCTCTTCTCTCCCAGTCTCTCTGTCTGGCCCCCAGGTGAGGCCAGTCCACCAGGCCGGATGTGCCCCATCCACCTCTGCTCCCTGTCCAGCCCACAGCCCCTCACCCTCCTCTGCCAACTTCTGAAGAAGGCCTTGATGCTCATATTAACATCCTGTTCCTCTTTCTCCATGTTCCCTGCGGGCACCAGGCTTATCCCTCATCATGCTTTCTTCTCAGGACAAACTTCTTTTCTTGTCCACCTGCTCATCTGTCTTCTCTGAATTGCAGGGACCTAACTCTCCAGTGTCTGTGTCCCCTCTGCTGGCCTAGCACCTAGAACACACGCCAGGGAGCAGACACTGGCCAGTGGGGCTAGTGATGGGCAATGCTGATGGAGAGCGGTGGAGAGGAAGTATCGGTGGCGGATTGAGTCAAGGGAGGGGCCAGCAACCTGGAGGCTCTCTGGACAGGCCCTGGTGGCTGAGCCGTGGGGAGTGCGACAGCAATGGCCGAGCAGACCAGGCGTGAAGGGCCTGGTTCCTGCAGCACAGCAGTTCTAACAGCCGTGGGATTCATCTTGTGGAAGGAGATCCTCTGCAACCAACTGAAACAGGATGGCGGAGTGGGGAGGGGAGAAGGGGGGGCTGGACCAGGTGAGGGGCTGGCAGGGATTCTCTGCTCTGCCTGAGGTCCTTCTACTCACCTCATCCCAGGCCCTTCTGGCCCAGCCCTCAGAACCGAAGCTGGGGGCTCTGTCTGGATCTCCCATCAGCAGCCTCTACTGTCCCCTGACCTTCGGCCTCTGAAATGGCCCAACTGAAGCACAGCTGTGGTGCTGGGAGCTGCAGGGGGCCAGACCCAGCTGGAGACTGTTTGGCACCCAACAGCCCGCCTCGAGTTCATGTCCTAATATGGTGATGGCCGACAGCGGCCTGAACAGGGACTGGCCCTGATCTGGACTAGAGAGGCCAGAGACCAGGAAACCTTAGCCCTGGAGATCCCAAGCACCCAGCCCCAGAACCCCAGGCATCCAGGCTCCTGGTCCTCATTCCTCACTAGGAACTTGTCCCAGAAGTCCAGAGTCTGGAACCCAGAAAAGCCCAACCTTTCAGGACAGCCTGGGGATTCTGACCTTGAGGCCTCCGCACCCTGCCCACTCCATTCAGATGTCTCAGCGAGGGAGGGCAGAGCTGCATTCTGCCAGCCCACCCCCTGCCTGGCTGCAGAAACTCCAAATAGAAGCCCCCTTGCAGCTCAGGCTCACCCCTGCCCCTAGACACACACTCAGACGCAGAGCCCCCTTGGCCCTCTCTCCCTTTGTGACATTCAAGGAATTTTTCCTTTCAAATAACCCTGTCAAAGCCCAGCTTCTTCCAAAAATGTGACCTGGAGCCCTGCCTGGTGGCTGCGGGACGAGGCAGGGGGAGAGGAGGCGCCAGCTGCTATTTTCAAGGAGACACAGAAGGAAGGAAAGCGGGCAGCCGACTCGGGGCTCTCTGAGGCTCTGCCTGCCCAGCCCCTGCTCGCTTGGATGGATGGTTGGTTGGTTGGTTGGTTGGTTGGGTCTTCAGTGAGCGTCACATCACTCACCCCCAGCCAGGCCTTCCAGCGGACCCCATGGACCCCATCTCGTCTTGGGCTGGGAGTATGGGAGGCGGGGGTCCCTGAGGGCAGCTGAGGTTCAGACCCAGGTCAGGGGTGGGGCACAGGGATAGCAGGAGCCTGTCAGGCCTGCAGGCAGGTGGTCTCTGACCCTCACACAGCAGAAATGTTGGCAGTCGATGGCTGAGCTGCTTCTGGGAGACCCATGCTGGCACTAGCACATACAGTGCCTTGCCCCCCACAGTCCTGCTCCTGGCCCCCACTCGCTGCTCTCCTCCCTCAACCTTGCCCTGCACCCAGCAGAGGCGGACTCTGCCCGCCCAGCTGCGTGAGGTTGCAGTTCCGCGGAGAGCCACACCGTGGCAGGCGCGGCCCACACTCCTGAGGCAGCCAGCACCAGAGCGCGCTGGGAAGGAGGGAAGGGGTGGAGGGGAGCAGAATTCCCACCCCCGGGCTCCCCCCAGCCCCGGCTCTGCCCACAGATAGGATGTGGGGTTCCCCGACGCAAAGGGGAGGGACACGGGCTGTAGAGTCAAATAGCCTTTGCTCCTTATGTCAGAATGACCTTGGGCAAGTCATCTCCCCTCCCCAGCCCCAGGGTCACGCCCACCCCAGGAGGCTGGAGGGATGGATGACATGTGTGAAGCAGAGCGGGACTCATGGGAAGTCCTGATTCTGGGAGGAGGAGAGGGAGAGACAGGTGGCTGGGTCTCCCCAGTGGAGAGGCCCCGAGCCACCTGGCTCTTGTAGCTGATGCCAAGAGCCCTTACTCACACTCCCAACCCCCAGCCCAAGCTGAGGACACCTGGCTCTGGGTGGGGAGGCTGAGTGCCCAGCCCTCGCCTGCCTCCTGGAGCTCAGGGCACCCTGGGTCCTGTGGGATGGAGACAGGAAAGTAGACACAGCCATGCAGCTCACCAAAGGTCACCGAGGAGGAGAGGAGGAGGGGACAGCGGAGGGACCCTGGGGGAGAACCAGGCCTGGACACATTCCAGGTGCAGCAGGTACAGCTCTTCCTGTCCCGAGGGAAGGGTGCCGTCGCTCATCAGAACCCAGTGCTGGCTTACTTTCATCTGCTGCCAACCCTGGGCATCCTCTTGCCCAGTGTCCCAACCCAACCGGGGGCCCCACTCACGGTCCCAAACTGGATTTCCCACCTCTGGACACCCCTGGCCTCAGCTTATCACTCCCAGGCCTTATCCATCAGGGCGGTGTGGCCAGGGGTGGAGGGGCCAGCAAGGATTCGGAGTGTCCTTCAGCAAACCCGAAAGTCAGCCCTCTGCCTGTAAACAGGTCATGATGCTCCTTCATGCCCCACGAGCAGTCACTGAGGGCAGCAATGTCAAGCGTTTGGGCAGCACAAACCACACAGGCCTGGCACCTGCCCTCACTACGCCAGAGAGTCAACAGGACCCCAATCCGGAGCCCGGGCAAGATGAGGAAGAGAGAATAACCGAGGCAGAGGGACGGGCCCGGGGAGCAGAGTGACCTGCCCAGCCATCAGGAGAGCTGAGCAAGTGCTGTGTGACTGTGGGCAGGTCGTCCGCCTCTCTGAGCTTCAGGCTCCCTGGGGGCACCACAGGGATGAGCGATTCCTGCCCTGGCCGCCAGATGAGATGACAGATGGCTTGTGGAAGCATCCAGAGCTGTAACGAAACAGGGCCCTGCAAGGAAGGTGACCTCAGGGAGGCAGCCATCCTAGCCCTGGTCCCTTCCCTGTCCCGCTCCCAGCAAGAGGAGCTGAGCCCAAAGTCACGCTGAGGGCAGGAGGCTGGGGCCCCATCAGCCCTGTCCGCCCCCAGGCAGAGACGCTGTCTTCATGCAGGGCTGTGCAGTGTCAGGTTATATTTAGCCTGGTGGCGGCGACAGGAAGATGCAGAAGGAGCGACTCCTGGACGGGGGCCATCGTGTCACTAACACGGCTCTCATGGGCAGCCTGGGGCCTAGGGAAGCGAGGGACATTGCAGGACCAGGGGACAGAGTAGGGGAGCCTGAGAGGCCAGCCAGTGAATGAGTGCGTGTGAGACGGTGGGGTGGGGAGGGGATGGGGAGAGAGAGGCCATCTTCAGGGGCTGTGAGGCAGACACCCTGGGGAAGACTCACTGCAGGGCAGGAGTGGAAAGCCAGGGTCCAGACCCCGACTCACACAAAAAAGGCATCATCCCCAAACAGACCTCCACCACCCTCCCTGTCTAACACCTTCCTAGGGAGTTAGAGGCCATATAGAGGGTCTCGGGGGGCCAGTCATCTAGACCCCCCAAAACCCACTGCCTGTGGCCTGCCTGCATCATCTCCCCCTCCCCAACCACAGTGATAGTCTCAAGAGAAGAGCTTCTTCTAGAAGAGCTCTGGGCCC